CAAGAGCACTGGCAAGAAATTCACCAGAATTGGAAGCTCAACACTTCTTAACCAGAACTCCAGCAGGTGTGTGCAAGCCACACTGCCTCAGGCACCCAGAGGAGAGGCACACAGCCCCAGCTGGGAGCCAAAGCCCTGCCCCACTGCTCAGCATGGCGTGGTTTTGGAAATGAGATCATTCCTGAGATAGTAATTACTGATCTACTGATATCCATAAATAAGCACCTGATTCTAGCCAGCAATTGCTATTAACATCACGAACTACTAAAACTATAAAATACCTTTTATTACACTGTATGGGAAGTTAATTCTTAGTTCTCCCCACAGTCTTTTCTATTTCTACAAAGCTACAAAAGCCCTAACAGCACTTGACAGGTCACAGCTAGGTTGCTTACTCTGGGGTTCTGTTTCAACCTACCAAGCAGGTGACTTCTCCAGCTCATCATTCCACAGCTGGAATATAAAATAGGAACATTTCTGAAGACAGGGTATGCACTTTGAATCACCTGCAGCAAATGCTGCAGAAACTAAGACAGAAGGTACTGAAGGAGACCTCTCAGAATATCAGCTCTACACAATTCCAGTAGCCTTCAGTTATTTCTAAGTTTTAGCTAAGCCTATGGAATTAGCACAGCTGAAAAATAGCACCTTATGCTATAAACTAGAAATAGATATTGGTGCTGTATTTGGAAGCTGACTGGGCAGCAGCTCTTTCCCCATTCACAAGCTATCAACCTGGAACAGCCACAGAATTGCACTGTCACCAACTGATTTCCATTCAGCTGCAAACAACCAGTGCTCAGACCTATTTCTGACCCTGCTTCTGCAGCTGAAGTCCCAGCCAGATTGCTGCCCTGGAGAGCTCTCATCACAGCCAGCAGGCAGAGTAGGTGCTAAGCAGCCAAAGCATCAACTTACTTCCCTTGTTTCACAGAATGATCTTAGTGAGTTAATTAAGCAACTTTCAGAAATACAAGGTGGCAGAAGCACACGCAACTTCCCTTCTTGTTCTAGGAGTCACATTCTCAGTGCTTATGATATAAGACTTCGTAGAAAACATTAGTCTGTGCAGTGACTGACATTACACCTAGACGAGTTCTGGTGTCTGAGTAAGCCCCTATATTCATTATGTACAAGACATAAGTATAAAGGGTTCTGTAAGGACAGCATCCCTAAAGCTCCCCCAAAACAATCAAGAATGAACGAAAAGCACTCCATTTTCACCTGCAGTTAAGAAGTGGTGTTCATTGATGCAAGTTACACCGATTAGACATCTGCATGGCACCTGGAGACAGCTTTGAGATGCTTTTTTTCCCTGGGAGTCACACATTCAGCCATGGTTTTGCTGTGTCCTGATGCTTCTAGCTGCTGTGCTACGAGGACAGCCACAGCCTCAGTTCTCAGCACAGCAAGGAGCCTTCAGGTACCATCCTGCTTCCTTCATGGCAAAGGTAAAAAAAGACAGCAGGATAAAGACAGCCTAAGGTACAGAAACGGCCTGAAAACTCTGGTGCATCACTTTCATCTAAAAATACAAGCCCTGCAGGAACAGAAATTTTAAAAGGCAAGGCTCTAAGTAGATGCCTGGGCTTCAGCTGAAGACAATTTATGCTGCTTCAACTTCTAAAAACCACCCAACCTTTGATTGCACGCCTACAAACAAGAAGTTTGTAGAACCCACACTTCAAGTCCTGCAAGCATTAACACTGCACCAAAGCAGCAGAGAAAGCAGGACAGCAGAAATTACTTACAGACTAAAACTACAGCCTGCTCCACAGAGGAGGACGGTCTTCCCTACTGAGGGCAAGAAAACTCAACGTTCACTTTGTATTATCAATCAGAAACAACATATCTGATAATTACTGACCTACTTAGAGCCAGCCACAGCCACCTTCTCAGGCTGGATGTGGCTCTGGGCAGCCTGGTCTGGTGATTGGAGACCCTGCCCATGGCAGGGGGGTTGAAACTAGATGGTCTTTGAGGTCCTTTTCAACCCAGGCCATTCTATGAGTCTATGATTCTCCTCTGCATCTTGTTAAGATGGATATAAACCAGTAATCCTGAAGCACAAAACTCAAAGCAAAAAGTTATCAGCAGCTGTTCTGTGTCTCCTTGCAGTCAGCAACTGCAGCAACTACAAAAGCAGTGACCTGCATGGCTAGCCAGGCTTACATGGGATTACCCACCCCAAAGCTACTCCAAGAATCATGATTTCTACTGTAATTTTCTATCATCTGTTCACACCATTGACCGTATTGCATGCAACCTTTTCGGAGCTGTTTCACTGTGAGAGTTGAAAGAGATGGGAAAGAAATGGGAAATGGATTGCAAGTTCCAAGCCTTTGGAAAAATGGTTGTAGTTGGTATCAAGCTGGGCCATATTTCAATAGAACCGACTGCAAAAAGTGCTGTCCAACAGCCTAACCTTCCTTCTTACATCTCCCTGAAAAAGTGGTGTGCAGATCATCAGGGATCTGAGCAGACCTCTCACTGCACAGAGAAAGGTAATCACACAGCACTGTCTCCAAGCACCAGCTTAGTGTCACTCGGGCTGTAGTAAAGCAGCAGTGATGAGAAGTGCTGGCTCTGGGGAAGGAATTCTCCTCCAGGTCTGAAGAGGATGAGCAGCAGCAGCCCAGGGCAGCTCACTTTCTCTCGTTGGTTTTTTTTTTTCCTAGGTGATGTTACAACACAAGTATTGTCACAACATAGCTTGGTAACATCACAAGATTCAAGTCTGCAGTGCTGGAATTTATTTGTGCATATTTAAACGGGGCTGAATGGAGAAAGGCATTTTTTTTCCACTTACTTCATCCAACTGTTGTTCTAAGCCAACTACTCACTCTAAAAGTAGCAAAATGACCGAGCTATCAACATCCAAAGAGCACAAGGATCTTAAAAAAGGAAATCTGTGTCTGTTCAAGCAAAACACGCATTTCAGAGACTGCAGAAGTGACAGCACCTCAGTGCTGGCAGGAAGAATGGGGATGGATCCTCCGTCCATCTTAAATCGACTTAAATAGCAGTGGAGCTTTTCACCTATGTGAAATCTGCACTATTCCTGAAGCTCTGAAGGCACAGACTGAGACAAACACCCCTGCCTATGTAATTACATCCTTTTCTGCTCGTCTTATTTTGGGAAAACTTGTGGTTGATTTGCAATCTTTCAATCTCAGGGTCCACACATCTTTTGAATAAGGGAAGGTGTGAGTAGCTCAGTGTCTGTCAGGAAGCTCATCCTGGTTTCTATTATACCCTTCTATGTGAAATATTCTTTCCACGTCTGTTTTATTCACATACAGGTTCAAAGTTAATAGAGGCAATGCCTTACTCTGCTCCTTCCCCCTCAAATAAAACATCAGGGATAAGCACTGTTTAGACACAGAAAGGGAAGATAAAGAAAAATCAGTTTCAGAACTCTCAACAGAAGTTGAAAAAAAAAAAAAAAAAGCAGCAGTATCCAAAACCAACACAAAATTAGAAAGCAATTTGCATTCAGCAGAAGAGTAAGCACACACTTCTGTCTCAGATTTGAGATTCAGTGCTTAACTTCAATGGAATCCGTGCTGAGCCCTCAGCAACAGCTTTATTCTGGATACTATTCCAATGCAGAGATTTCTGTAGCCCTCAGGTATACACAGTCTCTCCCAGCAGAAAGGTAAGGTGGTTATTTGCTGGCTGAGTCAGTGCAGCCTCGGGAGCTGCAGGCTGTTAACTGCTCACACACCCACTTCCCTGCTACTCGGGTTGAACTTCCAAGCAGGTTACAGGCAGTCAATGGGGCAGCCTGACTCCCGAGCTGGAGGCAGCTGGGAGCACTTTGCTGCTCACTGATAGATCTCGTTACCAGCAGCACGCTTTCAAACGAAACTGCCTAGCTTAATTGCTGCCAAGCTGCAAAGCAAGTTAATGATGGTGAACCTCTGACACCAGGATCAACACCCAGGTGGTTCAGGGTGATGCACAACCACATCTCTTTAACATCAGCAACTCCAAACGTTTGCCTGCCCCAAACCCAAACTCACCACAATGCCTTTGCCACTGAGCAGCTACTCCCCAAGCTGCTTCCATTGTCTTCCAGGAAAACACTTTCAGACAGATGTTTGTCCCCACATCTAAAGATACAACACACTCCCCCTACAAAATCACAGGGCTTCCACGCACCAGGCAGAAGCAGGGAAGCAGAAGCACTCCCAGGAACAACCAGCTGAAGTTCACAGTGATGCCTCTTCATCAGCTTGTGAACTCCTTCTCATGGAGTGAGACAAGAGCTCCTTACACCCTCTCTTTTCACCCCAAGCATCAACCAGGGAAATGACCTGTCAAGCCCGCAGGCTGCCATTTACTTCTAGAAAACCTGCAGTAAGAGAAAGAAGTGGTTGAAAAAAGAGAGGTTCTGGAAGGAAGCTTGTAAACAGGTGGAGGAGCAACTTTTTGCACGGTCTAATAGTGATAGAACAAGTGGGAATAGAGAGAGTGGTGAGGTGGTGGAAAAGGCTGCCCAGTGAGGTTGTGGATGCCCCGTCCATCCCTGGAGGTGTTCAAAGCCAGACTGGATGAGGCCAGATTGGATGGGGCAGCCTGGTCTAGTATTAAATGTGGAGGTTGGTGGCCCTGCATGTGGCAAGGGGTTGGAGATTCGTGATCCTTGAGGACCCTTCCAACCCAGGCCATTCTGTAAACACTACTGCTCTACCTGAGGGCATATTGATCTATAGAGCCCAATATTATTGAATAGCTCTAAACTAAAAAGGGGGAAATACGGGTTACTCAGAGAGTGGTGAGGAACTCAAACAGGCTGTCCAGACAACTTGGGGGTGCCTCATCCCTGGAGGTGCCCAAGGACAGGGTGGACGTGGATCTGGACAGCCTGATCTGGTGGGTGGCAGCCAACCCACGGCAGGAGGTTGGAGCTCAATGATCTTTAAGCTCCCTCCCAAGCTAAGCCATTCAACGATCCTAGGCTGAAAGTCACAGCACGGCGCCCCGCAGTGACCCACCTTATGGCAGCCCGGATAAGTCGCCATGGAGTTGAGAGCAGAGCTGCTGGGATTCTTGCTGGTGCTGGCCATGATGTTCTGGATCTGGGTGAGCTCCTGCCTCAACACCTGCTTCTGGTGGAAGCTGAAAGCGGGGTGGTTGGACGCCATGGTGAAAAGCAACAGGAATTCATCCCCGGTGCGGCCCTCGTTGAGCTGCAGCCCGTAGTTGTTGATGACGGAATCGATGTGGGTGAGGGTCCGGAAAAGGACCCCGGCGGCCTCGCGGTGAGCAGAACCCAGCAAGGCGAGAGAAACCAGCAGTTTGCTGCGCACCACCTCGTCCGTCAGGTTGGTGAGGCTGCCCAGATCGGCGGGGTTGTTGGCTTTGATTTCGGAATCTCTCAACGAATGATAATCCTTCCGAGCCAGATCTTCCAAACAGGCTCCCAGGAAACGCAGCTCCAGCGGGATGCACAGATCCAGCAGGCCGCACAAAAACTCCACTCTCTGAGGCGAGGGCAGTTCCGAAAACCACCGGTACACCCCGTCCCGCTGCAACCGCGGGCAGCGCTTCTCCACCATGGTGCTCCGCCGACCCCCGGCCCTCAGGGAACGCGCCTGGGCACCCCTCGCACCGCCCCCTCCGCGCTGCCGGCCGCTCCCCCGGGGGCCGAGGGGAACCGGCGTTACGGAGCAGCCCCCCGCGGCGGGCAGGGCCCGGCCGAGGCCCCCCGAGGGCGGCCGCCGGGGGCGCAGGCCCGAGCGCTGAGGCGCGGCCTGGCCGCGGGGTCCCCGCCCGGCAGGCCCCGAGCAGGCCTGGGCGCTCCCTCACGGGTCGGCTCTTTCTTTCAGCCGTTCCATCCTCCGTCCCGGAGTGCCGGGCCTCCTCCGGAGCGGTTCCGACGTACGCAGCCGAGGGAAAGAATCCCTCGTCGAAGGCGGCGCGGAGGCGGACGGCCCGCGGCGGAGGGATCCCGCGGTGAGGCGTCCCAGCCGGCACGGAGCGGGGAGGGGGAGAGAGAGAAAAGAAGGAGCGACCGAGCGCCTCCACTCCCGGCCTGACCCCGCGGCGAGGCCCCGCCCACCGCCCTGCCCATTGGCCCGGCCGGCTACTCGCGGCTGGTGATTGGCCGTTGGCGCGCTGCACCCGCCTCCCTCCCTGTGTCAATCGGTACCGTTAACCGCCCGCTTAGCCCCGCCCCCTTCCGCTGATTGAAAAGGGGAGGGGCGGGAGCAGGCGGCTTTTGTGTGGGGCCGCGGGCGGGCGGGCAGGTTGGGGGGGGTTTTGTCCGCCCTGAGGGGCCGTGGTGGTGGCGACGGGGTTGTCTGCAACCGGAGTCGCTTTGGAAGTTGACTTCGGGTTGTCAAAAATTCCAAATACTGCTCGTCTATCCCTTTTTTCGTTTCCCTCTGGAATATCGCAGCCTATCGAACTGCGTTCGTTGAGGTCCCGTTGAAACGCAAGGGCGAGCAGCCGGCAGAGGCTCGCTGGGGTTGCATAATGTCCCACATCGTGCAGCTGCACAACTCCGTTTCCGTGCGGCTCCCGCTGTGAGAGGGTCCTTGAGAAGCCCAAAGCCTCTGAGCGTGCTTTGCTCACAAGCAATCCATCGTGCAATGGAAACCAGATGGACTTCCTTTTCCTGCCATGCCCAGTATTGTCCATTGGAGGAAGGGAGATGCAGAGGAAGCTCTCTCAGCCCCTTAGGAGAGGCTTACATTGCGCTGAGTTGGGGGCCAGGCAGCCTGCAGGAAGACACCAAGTTCTGCTGGCTTCGTTGCCTGCTTTGGTGTCTTTAACTCAGCATTAATCCGTGCTGAAAGCACCGTGCTGAGCAAGGCAGTCTCCAACCCGAAGTGCAGCGTGTGAACTGGGGGCCTTTGATCAGAAACAGCTCTGCAAACCAAAGCCAGGAACCACCCTCAGCAAAATAAATCAGCTTTGTGGCAGCTCGTGTTACTCCTTGCTCCAGGAGTGAAGGTCGTGCTGGGGTGCAGCCACGTGCCTGAAGGAGAGCAGCTTTTTGGACACCAAAACCATCCCTCCATCGTCTCTCTTTGTATAAATTCCCCTTCTGCACACTTGAGATGAACAGCTGAGGAACGTTCCTTGCTGGAATAAGCGGTGAATACTTACTGAGAGTGCAGTTATTTTCCTCTTCTCATACTTTCAGCACATGGAGAAGCTGTTACTGAACGTGCTGACCCATTTTTTTTTTTCCAATGCTGGACACATCCACTTCAGTTCTCACCCATCAGCTGAAAGGTCTGGGCCGTTGTTCTCACATTGCCTTGATGCTGCATCACAAGGAGCAGAGCTGAAGTGCTTCTTCTCCCTTAAGCAGGGCAACAAAGCAACCTCAGCCACATCCCCCTCTATAATTTCATCTTTGTGTGCGTTGGACTCAACACAACGTTGCTGGGATGTCGAAATGCGTATGAAAATTGGTTTGTGTGAAGTGGGTAACTGGGTGCTACGGAAGAGGAGCTGTTTCGGAATATAATCCATCCACGGGGTGAAAAGGAGATGAGAATCTCTACCTGTCGAAACGAGAGGGAGAACTCCATGTAAGCTGCTGGCTAAAGGCCTGTTGAATTGCCCAGCTCTACCTTGTGCCCAGATCTTCCAGCCTGCAAGTCTCCTCATAGGGGTTCTTCCCAGAGCTCTCCATAGTTCTCTGCTTCTTTTCAGAAGCTCTTCAACATCTGTCATTAAGCAGGCAGAATTATTTACCCATTTGGCACTTCTGGGCATCCTAGGCATGGCTCAGTGCAGTCCCCTCCTGGCTGTCCTCTTCCAAAAGCTCACTCCCCATTCCCAAAAGCAAAACTGCTCACTTCTGACCAGCCCGATGTCCACTTTTCCCATTCTCCCAACCCCACAGGGCTGCAGTTTTCTGATCTTTGCTGTCAGGACACAACAAACAATGGGCTTGCGTGCCATCTATGTGATTATACAGTGGGGAAAGATAAATATTGCCACAGCATGAGCACTCGAGTACTTCTGTGCACACAGGTTATTTCCTGTAAGGTTTCTCACAGATGCTGGGATTGGAACTCTTGCTTTTGAAAAAACAAACAAACCCCGGCTTTGAAGAGCGTAGAAAAACATCACGTGAGAAAAAGTAATGGAAAAAAAAAAAAAAGAAGAAGCAGCCAGATGTCGGGCCGGCAGCATCCCTTGTCTTTCACATCATAAAAGGAGCGTGGCGGCTGGGATGGGGCTCGGAGGCGGCTGCAGATGGCAGCGATGTGCCGGGTGGGTGGCACTGCCCTCTGCCGGGCACACACAACCCGACATCGGGGTTTGTCGGGGTGTTTTTCCTGCTGGAGGCATCACCGATAAGGCTGCACACCCCCCAGATAAAGCTGCCCCTGGGTTGCGGTTGCTCGGCCCCGGGAGATGCTCAGAGCCTTCTGGCTTCGCCTGGTTCCCCACAGGGTTCGTCTCAGCATGAAAACCCACAGCCCCAGGCTGCCAAAACGCTGCCCCCGGCTTCCTTCCTCCTTGCATTCATCCCTGAAACCGCTGCAAAATAAACATCCTTGGTTTTCCCTGCCTCCCCCTTCCCACCATCCCAATCACAGCCCTGCTGTTCCCCTTTCACTCCCTTTCATCTCCTCCCCCACCCCAAAGTCTCATTTGGGTGATTCCATTTTTCCTTGTCCTAGAGCTGGCACAGCTCCTTGCCACGGATCCAACCCCCCCCCCCGGTTGCCCTCCCAGCAGCCCAGGATGGGTGCACAGCTCTCAGGGTGCACTTGGTGTCCCACATCTGATGCTGGAATCAGCCGTTCTACAGCATTAATTTGGTCTTTGCTGCAGCCACATCTGGAAAATAAAGTCTGGAAGTGTTTACTTGAATATTCCAGTGACATTCCTTGGGGTGTTTTCATATCACATCCCTCCCTTTTTGGCTTTGGGTTGGAATTGCACTTACCAGCTCGATCTGTTCAAGGAGAAAGCACAAAGAAGAAAGAAACATGCACAAATACTTACAAATATATATATTTTTTTCTTCGCATGTTTAGGACCCATGCTACACTTGCTAGCTCCAGAACTATCAGCTCAGTGAGATAAAATGCCACGTGCCCTCCCTGCTACCTGCCCTTCAAACACTTCTGTGCAAGCATCAAATATTGCCACGCAGAGATGTGCGCTGCAGTGGCACACTGGGGGTTATTTCCTGAAGAAACCCACAAATAACTTCTGAACCACAACCAGAATGAGAGAATTGGGGTTGGTTCATGGGCAATTCATGAATAGGAAAAAAAAAAAAGAGATGAAATTAGCTGAATGAACTACTCGTTATGCATTATTCAGCCAGCTGTACTAATTAGTGCCTTAAGGACTGATCCTGTTCCCACTGCAGCCAACTCCAAAACTCCTTTTGATTTCAGTGGGAGTGGGACAGAGCCCTCAGAGAATGGGCATGATGCCTGCTTCCTCTGCAATGCCTCTTGTTTTTCAGTATTACTTATTGATTCCAACTTTTTTTGTGTGTCTTACATTAGAAGGGCTACTTCTACACCCTGTGATGATCGGTTAGTTACAGGAAAAGAGAAGCACCAGCTGACCCCTAGCTTGTGCCTTGGAAGGAGCCTTTAAAAGCCATCTGGTCCAACTCTCCAGCATTGAACAAAGACACCTGCAGCTCCATCAGTTGCCCAGAGCCCCACCTACTTGACCTCCATTGAGCCATTGACCACCACTCGCTGGGCATGATCTCACCACCAGTTCCTCATCCACCAAACAGTTCTACCCATCAAATCCATATCTTTCCAATTTGGAGAGAAGGATGTTATGGGGGATTGTCCCCACTAAAGCCCAGATAGATGTCATTGGTGGCTCTTCCCTTGTCCACTGACATAGTTAAGCCATTGTAGAATGACACTGGGTTGGTCATGGCTTGGTTATCCCATATCACCCAGCCCTCTTCCACATGTAAAACTTCCAGGAGGATCTGCTCCATGATCTTTTCAGAAGGCTGACAGATCTGCAGCCCCATATCAGCATTACATGGGTTTTACCAAAGCCCACCTCTGTGCCAACAGACCTTATCTTCCCATCTCTCTGCCAGGGGAGCAGCAGCAGCAGCTACTACCAGTGGGTTCCATCACTGCAGGGGCTGCAGCACAGCTCAGCCTGGAGGAATCTCCCCAGCCCCACTCCTTGGGCTTCTCTCCACAGACTGCCTAAAATGGGTATAAAAGAGCCTTCCAGTGGAATTTATTTTCTCCTTAAGACCATCCTTAAAATAACAAACAGAAGAAAACTGGTGACACACAGTACATCTGTTTGAATAACACGGACCTTCTGTCTGCAACAGAGGAAACTCCAAATAACTCTTTGATTTGTGTTTCCTTTCTTCTCCTTCCTCATCTCCTCCTCCTCACTACTGTATACAAATCTGTTCTGCGAGCTCCAAGCCTCCAATTCCCTCTCCCTGACGAGCTTGTTTGTATGCCATGTGATAGCTATTTAATTTCCTCCCTGCTCCTGACACAGCTCCTATTTACCCTTCCTTCTGGGACTGCAGCTCTGCTTATGAGATGATGTGGAGAGGTGAGGGCAGCTCTCCTTTAGGTCCTGCACACCAAATTCCTGCCTTCTGACTGTGACCCACAGCAATCCCACTCCAGGGAAGCAATTAGGATTGAGAGCTGTGCTTCAAGTCAGCACACGTAAAGCCCTTCCCTAAATAAGGATGGCACACACAGCAGAGCCA